CAAACAAAAACAGAACTAAAACATGTAGACTGTATTCTAGTACTTTTATTGGGCTTTTCATGTTTTAAAAGGCTTTTGAACTACCCTTGAATTCCAGGGATTTTCAAGGACTTCAAGGAGAATCACGAGCCCTCCGTGACTTTCGCGATGGATTGCGACACCGCAAATAAGCTTACACAAGTTAAAATTCGCTTTTATGATGAACTACATGGAACTTCACAACGAACATCGCGAAAAAACACCTCTATAATACAGAAGCTCTTATATTACGACCTCTGACACGTAATTATGTCTTTATATGAGACTTACTTTTCATTAAAATTGCTCTCATTMAGCTTCAACATGATTTCTTGTCCTTCTGCATGTGTGCTTGAATACCTTGGGATAGCACCGCTGGGCCCAAAACAGTTGCGTCGCAGGCGCACCTGCTTTGGCGGGAAATACCGTGAGCTTCGGGTGGCTTGGCCACGAACTGCAGCGGCCGCGCCTGATGCAAAGTCCAGGACCCCAGCAGTTGGCTTGGCGACGGTACCCACAATGCCTTTGCCAATACCAGTAATAAAACCCTAATAAGTAAGCGGACAATATTAGATAATCAATAACAAATGGTTGTCCATCCATTATTATCAATTGTCTTGACGACGTCTTGATGACGTAATGTTGGCTTCAGTTTGTACTGCATTATGTCAAATTCATTAATAATTCATAAGGTCAACACAATGGAAAATCATAGCCGCGACCGCATTTACCACATCAGATTTGTCCTGATTTGCATACGACTTCAATTTTAAGAGTAAATCGAATTTAAAGTCGTAAATGATAATTTATCTTGAAGGTTTTAGGAAAATGTGCTTTAGCTTCTGTTGGAATTTGACAAGCGATATGAAATATTCGCGTCCGACCTACTGCTCGCTTGCAGATCGCAGTTTGAAATCCCCTTTAAGGTCTCCCGCTCGTAATTTATTTATTACATAGAGAARGAAGTCCATTAACATACCGATARTCCAGAGTTATGCGCTCCTTCGATAGGCTGTGTGACAATGCTTGTCAGYCCTCCCATCAGTCCCATGCCCAGTCCCCTAACACCAGCGACGAAGTGATCTCGGCTGCTGCCAAACCTCTCAGGCCGCATTGCTTCACGGGATTCCTGGAATTTCTTGTCCATCGAGGCACTCCATAAACCATCGGACAAAGAGCCGGTTATCTATCAAAACAATGAAAATATTGATAGATGATCAACACAAGCGTGCAAAAGTAATCAAATAGTGCTAAAAATTTCAATATAATATAGATTAGAGTGAACTCATTAAACCCGTGAAAYAAAATTTGACTATTAAAGTGAGATGCAATAGAGTGGTTTTCATTAACCCGTGAAACACACTTTAGCGTATTTATCGCTATTACACTTTGGCTCTTTTGTTTTTTATTGTCTCTAAGCGACTATTACGATCTATTACACTCTAATTATTACACTTTGTTTCACGGGTTTRTGATAACCACTCTAGAGCATAGTAAGGTGTGTTATTCTAATATCTATTTCACGTTTTTTTTTGCTTCACTCCAGACAATAGAAAACAAAGGAATTCGTATAATTTAGTACAATTTAGCACTACTTTGCTACTAAAAATATTTCATGATTTTAGTGTTTACCGTCTATAACAAATAAAAAAGAATCTTAGCATCAAAAGAAATGTTTTCATGTAAACAATGCAACTTCATCATTTTTTTCTTTTTAATAAACTCCTCCTATGCTTTTCTGTTGTTAAAAACTCATTACCTTGGCTGCTGAATCAGAAACTCCATGTGCAACGTTCAAAAACAGACCGCCAACATTTCCTCTCTTCACCAGTCCCTCTAGGCCAGATGAGACGTCGTTAAGGAGACCCATTGGGTTGCCAAGGAAATCCACAGAACCGACTATAGCAGCAGCTTGGTTGCGAAGCTCCTATAAAAACAGMGCAGACAAAAAAATGATAGTCACAAAATCAAAGTTAGTTTAATGGCAAACGTGTAAATATCTATTGAATCGAAGGTATACCGAACTTTAGTATAAACATACTAATGGTCTATYACTCATACTGCGCTGTGATTGGCTACTCTACTAATGGTCTAATTTGTGATAGACCACTCACGGCAAAATCAAAATGGCGGCATCTCATTTAATAAATGATTTTAAGGATACTTCAATTTGTTTTCATTATTTGACCGATTAGTATGTTTATACTAAAACAATTAGACCTCTCGGCCTCGTGGACTACGAGCTAATAGCCTATTCGGCCTCGCGGACTCGGCCTTATGGGCTATTAGCTCGTAGTCCACTCGACCTCGAGGTCTAATTGTTAATTATTATATGTAATAGGACTCCATGCTGTCCAATTAAGAAATAATTGGACGAGGAAAATTCCGAGGACTGCCAAAAATTGGACGAGGCCGTGGCCGAGTCCAATTTGGCAGTCAGAGGAATTTTTCGAGTCTAATTATTTCTTAATTGGACAGCATGGAGTCTTACTACCTATTAATTATATAGCCACATATTGATCCCAAATAGGTAAAAGCCAACCACAGCTTTTAACAAAAACCCAATTGAAAAACTGTCCAATTAATTTCTTAATTGGACAGGATTCCAAAATTAACGAAAAATCCAGCTTTTACCTATTTGGGATTAATATGTGGCTATATAATTAGTAAGGTAATAGTAACAGTGAGGTCTCATTATGTTAGTAGTTACCTCATAGTAATGTTTACTCATAGAGTCCATCAGGGAGTTGAATGACTCGAAAGGATGATGACGAGAGAATGTTTCTACAGAAAAAAAAATGTTAACGTGAATCTCACCGAAGAATGAATATATTAGCAGTCAATTAACTTCGCAGTCAACCAACCAATAAATAAATCAGTGAATCAATCAATCAATCAACCGGTCAGCCAATCAATCAATCATTTAGAATAAACAATCTTTTCTTGTCCGATATGCACATTGAGTTCACACACAAATCCGGTACGTGTGGACTCGGCAGATGAAAACAACATACCAAGGTCAAGGGAAGCGTCCTCCAAATTAAACAGAATAAGTCCTAAACTCTGTTTTAACTGTGCCAAGTCCTCAGAAAGGCGACCAGCAGAGGCAACGGACACCTTCAACTGCATGGAATTGAATTGAAGGCGCTCGAAATAGTACCTCTTGGACGACGAAGTGGACACTGACACAGCCCTGTTAGGAAATAAACACCAGCTTGTAGGTTTTATATCAAGTAAGTTGAAGTGGTTGAAACTGTGGAATTACAGTCAACTCCCGCTTACGGACACTCCGCTACAACGGACACCTCGATATTGCGGACAGTAAAATACTGAATCCCCGGCAAAAAAAAACAAAACAAAACAAAAAAAACAGAGAAATGACTGAAAATAACTCTCGCTACTACGGGCTCTCGCTTCTGCGGACACTAAATTATGGTCCCGAGGGTGTCCGAGGGTGTCCGTAATAGCGAGAGTTGACTGTATATGTATGGTCGTAACGCTCGTTTGCGCTGGCAATTTTTGCGGCAATTTTTGCTGCACTTTTTTCGTACGATTTTCAAAAATATAATAGATTTTGTCTTATTTTTCTGAGACATTTAGTTAGCTCATATCAGTGCACCGAGTAAAAGTTTATAAGTTGATTCATTTGTATTATTCCCTAGAATCAAATTGAGCACAATAATTGTCGCAAAAATCGCATCCAAAATCCCTTGTGTAAAACAGGACATTACACAACTTATCTTTTTACACAACATTACACAATAGTCAACTTAAGATATTTTGGTTCTATGACTATGCACAAAAGAGTTGCACACGAGGCTACGGAAAAACAATGGATAATCTTGATTTATTCTTTTATTTCCCAGAGCCTCGTCTGCAATTCTTTTGTGCATGGTCACTGAACCAAAATATCTAAAGTCGGCTATTTCAGAGCCTAAAGGCCGACTTAGACGACACAACTTTTCCCTACAACTATCGCATGCGACCTGCGTAAGTCATCCTTACGACATGGCTACAACTGTCGTATAGGAATTTTAAACAATTGCTTAATAGCCTCACGACAGTTGTAGCCATGTTGTAAGGATGACTTACGCAGGTCGCATGCGATAGTTGTAGGGAAAAGTGGTGTCRTCTAAATCGGCCTTAAAAGGTGTGGCAACCAGCAATATTTGATAGTTGTTCGATTCTCGTTGGTACCTTTGATTATCATAGAGCGATTCGTCGTCTTCTTCGTTCGTAGACGCAACATCGTCGTCTTGCTTGACGTAACCAAGAAACTGCAACAGCTTCAGTAATAGCCGTTCTTCCACGTGAACTGTCATATTACGTAGACAAACATCGAGGTTCTKGTAGAAAATAAACTGATCAATGATCTCCTTCACGGTTCCCTACGCCATCTTTAAAGGTAGCCGTGYYTTTACRTCGAAGCGAGACAACCRTTGAGCGTGCAWTSWTAGAAACCTTCTTTCACACCACAGACAATTATTCACAGGTATCTATTGTCTGTAGGTGTGAAAGAAGGTTTCTATCATTGCACGCTCAACGGTCGTCKCGCTTCGATGCAAAGRCACGGCTACCTTTCAAGATGGCGCAGGGAACCGTGAAGAAGATTATTGTGCATCTACACAARTCAAGCCAAYAATATTTCATAATTAAGATTAACGTCACAAAAGCAKCAATTTTTCATATCACATTTTTGACRTCATGTATCGMGSCATAATACATCATAGTGAACTCTGACGTCAGAGTGCTGCAGGGCTTGTCATTAGTCCGCTTACCTTGTAAATTTCGATGTTTTGCATGGAGGAATGTTCTTTACAAGCTGATAGTTGTAGAGTTGGGTGATGTGCAACGACACTGTCTTCTTTGCTTCCCTTTTCGACTGGCGTTGGGTACAGCAGTACTGGTAAAGGGCTTGAAGTGCCACCAAATAGTTGATTATCWACCTGTATGATCAACAAAGTAATCATTAAGTAATGGTCCGAGTAAGAAGCAGGCAAGCAAACGGCAATGGAATGCATGAAGGTGCTAATTTTGTATTGTATAGTCCATCCATCTCATTGGTTAAAACATTAAAATTTGACATAATTTCAAAAGTAAGCGCATTTTTTAATATTTTATTTAATATCTAATTTCGACTTCATAAAAGCTTTCCTTAGCTTTAATATTAATAGCAATTCTATGTGGTGAACATAGCAAATTAGAGGCATCTTTTGGCTATTGTTTTGAGTGCTTATGATTGGACAAGATCTTTCAATACAATAAGAAACTTTGCTTCAAAACAGAGTTTATCCACATTTTATTTTAAAAATGYGTTACCCATAGGTTGATATATAATCACTGTGAAAACCAAGACATTCGTATGTGGGAAAGTTGCAATTGCCGCTGAACAATAGAAAGTTGCCTGCTTTTTGCGTGCATTGTTACTTAAAACGAAAACTAATCATTTGTTTCATGATGGGAGCTTTGGATTGAAGTGCCATCATTTTTGACTCCTAAGTGCCTGTTCACATTACGGCATAAGCATGTCGAACAAAAGAAAAGACAAAGAAATGAAGTTAAGCGTGCATCGATATAAGCATAGCAAGTAACATAGGGCAGAGCATAAGCTAATCACAGACAAAGGAATAAACAGAGAAAAACACCTTTCTTTTTGTTTTCTTAATCCTTAAACCCTTTGTTTATGGAGCTTGTGCTTATGTTGCAGTGTGAACTGGCCCTAGCATAGACTGTTTGGGCCCTGTTTCATCTGATGTGAAGTTTAGCCATAGTTAATAGAGGGGAATGGTTTGGAAACCTTTTGTTGTGCTTCTTTTGTACATCTTTTGTACGTATTTTGAGGTTGAATCAGTCAAGACCGTGCACAACTTTTTTCTTACGGACGATGGAAATTGAAAAAAGACTAAACATAAACACCCTCTATGAGATTATAAAATGAAATATTCCAATATTGGTTAGAAATCATTATGCATTTTGAAGAAATAGCCATAAGAATAGTTTTCGCTCTGTTCATTCAGATGTGACCAGTATGGCTAAAACAATAGTTAAACAAAAGATTGTGCACAGTCACGCTTGGAAAAAAGTGCACAAAAACCTACAACAAAAGGCTTCCTAACCATTTCCCTCTACAAACTATGGTTTAGCAGTTGATTTTTGTTCTACAAATTGAGAATTGAGATTTTTGATCATCATAATTATCATCACTATCATCACTATCATCATCATCATCATTACCTGCAGTCGCCCTATGTTGACTTCAAGGGTTTCGATTTTGGAACTTCGTAAGTAGTCAATCTATGCAAATAAAAATGTTATTCACAAATAACTCAATAAAAAATTACGTATTTCAGATAAAACATTCAATMAATACACCATCRAAGCGCMTTTAATTAAACGATTACGCAGAAATYCCWTTTTTCTCAAGTAAACACGTTCTATTTCTCATTCCACACGCTTGATCAAATATTCCACAGACCACTATTCCTAAATACCTCGATTTGATCAAGTGTTCCATAGACCAATTCCTCAGGAACAGTATTGATGACMGACACTCCTATACCTCCAGCYARACGGACTTGTAATTCTAGTTCGGACGTAGAAGGCGCCTCTTCAAGACTCGASACGGCAGGTTGACGCATGCCTCCTTTTCTGTCTACTAGTAACCAGTCTTTCTCGGATTCCTCATCTTCGAACTGTAAAAAATATAACGCTAAGATTTGAAGTGCATACTTTTACAGAATCTCGTTCCCAGAGCCTCTTGTAGACTCGGCCATTTTTAAAATAGCTTAGAGAGGTCTTGCGAATATGTTGTGTAAAAAGATAAATTTAACACCGTATAAAAGTAAACTATTTACTGACGTTTCGGACGTTAATCTTTTGTCGGAGTGAAACGTCCGAAACGTCAGTAAGTTGTTTCACCTACGTTTTTACGGTGTTAAATTTATCTTTTTACACAACATGTTCGCTTACGAAACACCGACACAGCTCACACTAGTTTTCCTGCTAGTYTCCAGCATCTTGCGAACATGGTTCAACTTTTTGCATAACATGTCACTCTCCAAAGGGAAGGAGGTCTTTTTAAGTACTCCATGACCGACTTTCATATCGTGAGGGCCTGAGYACAACTATGTAAATTAGTTCCTGACTGTCCTGGTTTATCACCATCATGGACTTGTACTCAGGCCCTTGCGATGTGGCAGCCGGCCATTCTAGACCGATCGAAGGCTAGTACCTGGTGAAGACTGTCACTAATATGTAAAACTCTTGTRGGTCCATCGGCTTTAACCTTAACAGCCACACACCCCGATCCTGGCCTCATCTTGGTAGTCGTTATACACTGTTCCAGGGGGATGCATTCCTCTTTTGTGATGTTAGCCGGACCGAGGACTGCATCGGCACCTTGAAAGACACAAAAATAAACTTATTGTTATGATTTAAATGGACATAATCCACCCCTTTATAGCTTTTGCTGATGTTTAAAAATAAAAATACATCGTCYGTTTGACTAACACACTTTAATAGTTAAATTCTGTTTCATGGGCTAAATGACGTCACTCTAAGATGACAAACAAAGAAATTGATATAATTCAGTACCATTTAGTACTATTTAATTACTGCTTTTCGTGGTTGTAGCGTTTGCACTCTAAGTTACCAATATATTGAAAGTAATCGTCTGCTCTTACCATCCCGAAGTCCATTGACGCCATTCCTCGATTGCACGAATAATCCTGGTAGGTCACATTTCATTCGACCATCCTATAACAAACAATAGAATTAGTGACACCAAGGCCGCAAAGGATCTCTGGGAAATCACGTGACAAACCTCAGTAAAAGACCATGTCTGTGAATGTTTCCGTCGTGTGTTGGGTTTACTAAGGACAAGTCGAACATATTTTCCACAAGTGGGCGGGGCCAGGCTGTCAATATCCAAGACAAGGCCAGCGTTACTAGAGGGGGGTTTACGTGGGTCGCTTATCGGTGAGGACCCCTCATGACGAAGCAAGCCACTTCCGGTCATGCGCCATAGTTGAGAGCGTTTCAGTGGTTCTTTTCTTCTCAGAAGGACAGCAGTGCCTTGTGGGACGTCTAGTACCAGTTCTCTCATATCAAGAGARGGACCTCGTCCTTGCTCACCCGGCCTTATGTGTAATCGACCACAAGCATATCCACTTGAACTGCAGTGATAAATGTTAGATAACACCAATTATTGTACGAGGTTGAGTATGATATAAAAACAAGATCTAAAACATTATTGAAGTCGGTTGCGTATGAAATTACAAAATATAGGATCATATGATATAAACGATTATTAGCTATGTCTGAGCGTAATATTGTCAATATAGAAATAGATGGAGATTGATATAAAACATTATTGGATGCCTTTGAAGCATCATATAAAAAATATTGGACGCCCTTGAGCATGATATTAGAAATTATCGGATTAAGCTGGGCTTGATATGTAAAATAATTGATGTTTCCTTTTAGTATATAGGACCAACCTTGAGAATGTATGCGTGAATACTATGTACACRGGGTTGTAATAGTAGAGTCTTTCTCCCGAACCCAAGATATTCATRAAGTAATGAGAATAAGATGCCCCATCGACCACACCCAAAGACAGCTCTGGTGGAAGTGTTGGCTCGTCCCAGGAATATGGCACTAGAGAGTAAGGAATAGAAGTCGATAAATTCAAGCTACTAGACAAACTAAGAAGGTAAAGGTGGTCTAAATAAATTGTTCATCATTATTCAAGACTTTCAAAAATAGAGCGATATGTCACGGTCGCCGACCAAGGTATTGATGACAAAGCATTAATGCAAGGTCTCAAAGGCCACCCTTCGTATAGTAAACTTCAATGGTGCCTTGCAAGAGCTTTTTGTTATAAAYAACATACCAATACATCTTTCAAACTTTTGGACACTGCCTACATAGGATCTTCATAGTGATTTCTAGATGAAAGGTCTTTGAGGTCTCGTTTCCATGATTCGTCACTAGTCCCCCGATATTGACGGTCGTGAACTACCGCACTTTTTGAAAGTCATGTATTACTCCGTTTCAATGAAATTATTGTTATTTTACATATGTTTTAAGCAAACCTGATTGTTTAGGTTGAAGGAGAGTTCGTAATCGGTCTTCGGTTCCACTTTGAAAGAACTTAACGGGAACCTGATGTATCAATAATAGACGATTAAATGAAAAAATGAATAGAAAAATAAATAAATAAATAAATAAATGAAAAAAATTAATGCGTTCACAAGTTCGCTGATAGGTCATTATTAAACCATGCGTCACTAACGTCTGGTCCACACTAGGACATAAGCACAACTACAAGCATAAGTGGAAACATAAGCAGAAACAGAAGTTAGTTCACACACTGTGTCATAAGCTCATGTTGCGACGGTTCAAACTTGCATAATGTGCAAACACAAACACAAGCATAAACATAAGAAATGTAAACACTTATGTTTATGCTTCTGCTTATGTTTTCCCGGCTTAGAACATACTAAAATACTCGTAATGAAACCGTCCCTAAGGTATACATGYATCAGTACTTTCAGAGAACAATGCTTTCGCCATCTTGAAAAGTGAGACCGGAATCACTATGTTGTGCCTTAGAACACATTTCGTAGTTGCTAAGTCAACCAATCTATCATTATATCGTATAATGATAACTTAACATTAGTTGAGAAGTTTTTAAATCCTTTAGGAGTTATAATTTAGTGATTCGAGTCACACTTTTCAAGATGGCAGACGCATTGTTCTCTGAAAGTACTGGTGCATAGTCCATACCGCAACCTGCGGAAAGCCTTGTGACGCAGTGCATTTTGGGATTGATAAATGAGTAAACAAGTGAACAACGATGTCAGTGCTCCAGTTGTCKRTAAYRTAGACTCAGTTTTCGAAAAACATTGGGAAATATTGATATTGTAGTTAATCTCAGAGGCGAAAAAACAAACAAATATCAACACGCAAGGAAATACAGCAAGAAAAACCTCCAAAAAATGTACAGTTAATCAAGAATTTCCATTTACTAGGCAAATCAAGCAAAAATTAAAAGAAACATATTTTGTCTGTGGAAAAATCGAAACTAATTTGTGTTTTTACGATTTTAGCGATTTGTTTTGATGAAGAAAGGGAAATATATATCCCATGATACATTGCAAAACCATTCAAAATGGCGGGCTTGTGATATATGGACTATGTATGTGGTCAACCTGTGCCCCCCTCAAATACACCACTAAAKTACTGTACCTCTGATAGATTATCTATTCGATATGGCGGCGGTAGTTGAGATGCATCACTAAGCACCACGTGAAACGTTGCACCTTTRAGCATAATCTCGACCCTCACAAACAACGAACAACCATCAAGACTCCTAAAAACAACATTAGAAACTTGCAGACATATTACATGGGCGCGCGGAGATACGGATAATTGAAAAGATCTCAACGTGAGAAGATAAAATTCGTATCTCCAAGCGACCATGTAATATTCTGTTTATCATATAATTATCAATGAAAGCAGATGTTTTAAAATAATTGTTATTTACCTCCAATATAGATATACCATGAATGGTATACAAAGTACAACTGAATTCCTCTACCTCCGTGCCTTATACAGGGTCACTGCAGGTCCTTAAATCTTTGAAAAGTGCTTGAATCGAAAACTCGTTTTCAAGGGCACTTAAAACTTCTTGAAAATTTTTAAATTTCGAAAAAGTCCTTGACAACTCCTTGAAAAAGATAGATCTCTATCACGAAGCCCTAGCGATCTCTGAAGTATTCCGTTCGGCTGAAGTTGTGAGGTTAGAATGTACAATTAGCATGATTATGATTTTCCTTGAAAATACAATTTTGGTCATTGAAAAGTCCTTGAAAGATCCTTTAATTTCGTTTTTGAACTCTGCACGGACACTGTCATAGTTCGTCGCATATTTTGAGTTTCTCTCTGAAATCTTAGATACAAAAAATTATTTGCTTACCAGATGTTGTTAATTAGATGATAGTGTCTTAGAGCTCGTGCCCTCCTTGCAATCGTTCACAAGGGCGCTTGCAAAGCCATTGAAAATAGGAAAAGCTAAAAAAAACCTGGAATACTCCTTGGATATGTTGATTTATGATATGATTATCGATAAAATACCTATATTTCTCAATTACGTAAAGTTGCTATTTTCACTGCAACTTCACGTAATTGAGAAATATAGGTATTTTATCGATAATCATATCATAAAAGTGCCCTTGAAAACGAGTTTTCGATTCAAGCACTTTTCAAAGATTTAAGGACCTGCAGTGACCCTGTATAAGGCACGGAGGTAGAGGAATTCAGTTGTACTTTGTATACAAGATTTGGTAAGGGGGTAGGGGGGTACAGGGGGTACAGGGGGGTGTTACGGTTGCATTGAGCTTACCTCATATTAACATGAAAAGAGTCATCTCTGTCAATTCTAAAACCACCAGACCATTGACAATGATAGACGTCATTCAGCCTGTAATGGAAATTCATTAACAACGCAATGAATATGTCTAACCGTGCAACGGGTCTTGGAATAGTCTTCTTCATGGTTCAATGCGCCATCTTGAAAGGTTGCCGGGCCTTTGCATAGAAGCGAGACGACCATAAGCGTGCATTGATAGAAACTTTCTTTCACACCTACAGACAATTATTCACAGGTTTCTATCATTGCACGCTCAACGGTCTCGCTTCGATGTAAAGGCACGGCTACCTTACAAGATATCGCAGGGGACCGCGAAGGAGACTATTACACAGAAAACACAGAAAACGGTCAGGGAACACTACTTTTGATGCGATAAATAACATTTTATTGACATCAATCAATCAATAATCATTTCGCCATACCTGATGCACAACAGTTGATCGAGGTCGGTTCTCGCCCAGTGGAACAGAACCAATGCGCCTGGTAAAGCCGTCAGGGTCCCCTCAGGATTTCTAGTTCCCTAATATTGACAAGTTAAATTAAACTAACCATGTATAATACAGCGATGCCATTCTTAAAGGGACATGGTCCACCAGCATCCCTTTCGAGCTTTTGCTCAAAAAATACATCGTAATATAAACAAAAACTTACTCTTTATTATCCCTTTATACTTTATAAATGAGAATATTGTAAGATTCGACCTTTAAACCGATGGATGGAAACAGATTGTGAATGGATATTCGAAGTCACCTCATTTTTCATGAAAAATCTAAAAGAAGACCGCATTGAATACTGGTGGACCATGTGCCTTTAGGAACAAAGCAAACTG